TTGTGTGTGTGTATGTGAGTCAGCACCTGATGGTTTTCTTTCACTGAGACTGTGGATTTGATCTGCTCTGGAATCATCAGTTCTTCTCTCACTGCTGAAGTCTGACCCGAGAGAGAAGCTGCAGACGTGCTCAGTCTCTCTGTCTGTCTTGTCCTTCAGTTCTGGGAGTCCACATCTCTATCGTCTCTGGACGCGTCGGGTCTCGGCTCAGGTTCTGGCTCCAGCAGTGCCTCCTCGTCTTCGGTGTCGTCCACACCGGTCACAGCGTCCCGCTCACACAAGCGCTCCGTCTCCGGCGTGTCCAGCTACTCGTCTCTCTCTCTGCCACTTTACAACCAGCAGGTGGACGACTGCTGCATCATCAGAGTCAGCCTGGACGTGGACAACGGAAACATGTACAAGAGCATACTGGTGAGAATAGTGTCAAATAACGGAGAGAATCATCTAGATCAGTGCTTCACGACTCAGATTTTACATTACGTCCACAGAAGCAAACTCCTCAGCTTTCAGTGACAACTCACTTTTTTCAGATCAAAATAGGTCACCAGTGAGATTTGCTTAGATCCAGTGAGAAGTGTTTTTATGAGGTGGGGGGGGGTCTTACAAGAGTAATAAAGAACTCTGGGGCCGGGTGCATAAACTGTTTAGACTAGTCTTAATAAGTTAGTCATCTCATTTATTTTCTTCAAGAAATTCAGTTATGAAAAGTTAGATTGGTCTTGTTTGTATCAGAAGAGTAAGATCTGGGTAACTGCTAGTTGATCAAACTAGTTCTTAACACACAGTCTTGCAACAAGATGTTAAAAGTTGGGTTTTTTGTGTGAAAAATTAGTTTTGGACATAAGGTAATAAAAAATAGCTTAAAGTAACTACAGATGAGCATGTAAAGCAAATATCTTTAATGGAAATCCCGTGTGGAGCATGCCCTCAAGCCACGCAATCTTCTCACCTTTTCCCTCTTTACCTGTTTGCTTCTCTGTAAGTCTCAACACAGTACCAAAGCTGTTTGCGTGTGTGTGTGTGTGTGTGTGTTTCAGGTCACCAGTCAGGATAAGACTCCTGCAGTCGTGAGGAAAGCCATGATCAAACACAACCTGGACCGCGAGCGAGCCGATGATTATGAGCTGGTTCAGAGAATCAGTGAGGAAAAGGGTCAGTCTTCATAAAGTCCCTAAGAATATGGCATAAAACAGCTGAAAGATAACCTAAACATGCCTCTGCTGATATCTGCCGCCTCGTCTGGCCGATGAGCTCAGTTTTGTCAGATGTTTGGTTGAAAGAAGTTGAAAGTGTAGGGCCTTATGAAATCCAAATTCCATTTGATTTTTTCCCAAATTCTGTTTTTTCCGTTTAAATTTTTCTGGACTCCTTTTTAATGGTTAAATTAAAAAAACAAGCAAAAAGCATGTAAAATTATGAAATTTATACAATTTCACATCAATTTATTAAAAGTTTAACAAAAATGCCATGTTCAGGGCGATGTTCCCTCTCATTTTTTTCTTGCTGAGCAAAACCTTTCTCTGTTGGGTGGACATTTCTGAGCAAAAATATTTATATATACAAAAATATTTATATCAGACCAGTGTAACTTTTAATTTGAATGTGTTACATATATTTTGTTATTTATGTTTGATGCAACTAAATGATGCACATTTTAGGTTAACTGAGAATGCTCTGTTACTTACAAAGAAATTCTATTAAAAATCATTTTAAAAAGTCTCACACAGAACAGTTTAATTCTTTATAGTAATATGATATAATATATAACTAATATGAAAAAATAAAGCAGTTATTGTTCATGAATTCCCTTTTGGAGGTCAATTAATTATTAGGCTTATAATATAATATATTAATATTAAAACAAAAACAAATATTTTCAATAAATATGTTCAAAAACATAACCATGTGAATTATTTTAGTTATCAGTGTTATAGCGACACCAACTCTATGCATTGTGATTATTACTGGAATGCTTTCCCAACTCATTTTTCCGTCCGCCTGGGCCCTATGAAATATTTAATTTTTTCTCACCATTTGTTTTATTGTTACCAAATTCTCTTTTAGCATGTCTAAATATTTGAATGCATAACAACAACTTCATTTATTCAAATGTATTCTTACAATAGCCTTATGAATTAATTTTTTTTCCCTCAGAAATTCTGTTGTGTATTTAAATTTTTCTGGTTATCAAATGAACATTCATTTCATTTATCTTTTAATTATTGAAAATTAAAAAATATATATTTTTTGGGCAAACAAAGGGGATTTACTATTAAAAGGAAGAAATGTTGCGTGATTTTAGTTTGAATACGTTTGAATAATTTTAGTAGTAGTATGTACATTCTACTGAACAATAGTAATATATTTCTGTCTTCAAGTTAAACCGAACTTTTATTTTGACGGGTTGCCGTGAATACCGTTAAATTTCTGTGTGTATGATATGAGGCTAGTTTTACTCAAATGAAACGCTCATGAAGTGACTCTCAGAGCAGTTCTGGAAATTGTTCATGTGTTTATGTCCTCGTTTAGTGAGACGACAGACGCTGTAATCACCGCGAGCGTCATGCGCTTCAGTGTGTGTGTGTGTAGTAAACAAACCACGCGTCTGCGCCATTCACACACACACACACAGAACACACACTCTCTCACACACACACACACACACACACACACACACACAGAACTCACTCACACACACACACACACACAGAACTCACTCACTCACTCACTCACACACACACACACACAC